ACAATTTCAAGGCAGCAGCAGCAGAATTCTATTTTGTTTTTACCGTGGTAACATCTGTATAACATAAAATTTGCCATTATAACCCTTTTTGAGTATACAGTTCAGTGGCATTAAGTACATTCACACTGCCGTGCAACTATCACCATCATCCATCTTCAGAACTCTTCCATCTTTCCAAATGGAAACTGTTTCCTTTAAACAATAGCTCCCCATTACCTGTCCTCCCAGCGCCTGACAGCCACCATTCTATTTTCTGTCTCTATGAATTTGACTCCTCTATGCGCCTCATATAAGTGGAATCATGCAGTGTTTGACCTTTTGTGACTGGCTTCTTCCACTGAGCATAATGTCCTCAAGGTTTGTCCAGGTGACAGCTGAGTATTAAACCAAGTGTAGGGCCCTTCTGGGCACCGGGCCCCGTGTGGCTGCACAGGTCACATGTCCTGACAGTACTCTCTAGCAGTGGAAGAGCCTATTTTTCTCAAAAGTCACCAAGAAAACTTCTCAGTTTTTCCTCAAATCAGAGGCTTTCTGATTTTTTAAAGCATTTTTCAAAGCCAAGGAGAAACCTGAGTACACATCCCTAATTAGAACTATAGGACAATGGGAAAGTCATTTTCAAGGTGTGAAAATGTCAGCTCAGCCTGGATGCTTCCAGTAGGAACCACGAAAAGAGGAAGAAAAAGGCTACCTCCAAATCACAAGTCCAGGAAATATATCCCCAGTGGCCTGCAAAAAGGAGCAAAAAAAAATTTTTTTTCATGTAAAATATGTTTTATTGTTCTTTAAAAGGGCTCAAGGTTTGGTTTTAAATCAGGCTGCACACCTTCCCGATCCCCCCCAGAAGCGAATCAGGTCCAAACCCCCAGAGGGATGGTGCCGGGGAGGCAAACAGCATGTTTGGTCTCCACCATCCTCCTGGCAGACACTACAGTTTATCCTTGACAAGGAGCTGGGCATGGTATCCGTGTGTGCTAGTAGTGACTTGGGCAACATCCCATAGTGTGAGCCTCCAAATCCATGGCCACGGGCAAAGGGCCTGGTGCTGGAATTGCATTTCATGCACAAAACTGACCCAACCACTTATCCAAATTAACATCACATGTTATTCTACATTATTTTCAAAATCACCAATGTATTAATATTTTAAATAATTGGTGTAGTGTTTTACCAACTACTTAACTATCTCACTTAAGTGGGGGAGGTCTCAGCAAATTAGTAAAATGAAATCTGAATTACACCTTTTAAACTAAACGGTTTTATTGCCCCAGGGGGCTTGTAGAAGTTTAGGCAAGTTAAATCTCAGGCAGGAAAACTCCTTTGGGATCATTAATGAAGAAGGGGAAATGGTTTATCGCTAGCTTATCAGTTACTGCATGGAAATGGAACACTTTTTCGTTCTGGAAAAGCCTGCTCGTTCTCCGCTGCGGTGATATCTTTTATACACCATCATTCGCTCAGGCTCAGCCCACTCCGCCCTCATCATTTCCACCAAAGTAAACCTCAGCCCCGATTCTGCAAAATATCACACATTTCAAGTTGCCGCATTTAAGTAAATTCTTGATATGTTATCCTGCTTTATTCCAGGCTCTTAAAATACTTGTTAAAGAAAACTGCTTGGACCTGGTGAAATAGGCAGTTCTGATATTTTCTTTTTGAAGATAAGTGGCAGAAATTTTAAGGATGTGACTTCATGACCTGCCTGAGTTCCCAAACTCCCCATCTCCCATCTCCACCTCCTTTACTGGGCAAGAATCCCTTCTGCTCACAGCCCAGGGTTTGAAGGAGAGGCCAGGGTGGCGGAAGGCTGTTCCGGCACCTCCACCGCCCTGAGTGATTACAGGGCAGGCTCGGCTTGCCCGGTGACCGCTGCCCCGTCGGGCCTCGTGGCCTGGCACCCGACGACGTTCCAAGTGTGCCTGCGCCGCCTGAGTCACAGGCAGGGGAACAGGGACTTGTTCCTGCATCCCAAGGCTGCGTTCCAACAGGACCGTGGCCGCAGAAGCGCAGAACCCCAAGGCTTCTCGGCAATTATGTGGTTTTCACACTTCTATTTTTAAAAGGCTTGGAAACAAGTAACCTGGGGGATCAGGATGGTTGGGTGAATGTCTTTCCAAAGTTCTCCCAGTCAGGGGCCCTGTCCTGGCAGGGGTCCCAAAGCAACTGTGAAACCAAAATGCCAAGACAGGCCCGCTCTGCAATCCTGCTCCTCAGATGATAGAAACAGAAACACCGGGCTTCCCTGGTGGCGCAGTGGTTGAGAGTCCGCCTGCCGATGCAGGGGACACGGGTTCGTGCCCCGGTCCGGGAAGATCCCACATGCCGTGGAGCGGCTGGGCCCGTGAGCCATGGCCGCTGAGCCTGCGCGTCCGGGGCCTGTGCTCCGCAACGGGAGAGGCCACAACAGTGAGAGGCCCGCGCACCGCAAAAAACAAAACAAAACAAAAAAAAACAGAAACACCAGCGGCACCTAGACTCACACAGTCTTGTCCTACATGACCACAAAGGGTATGGTCTGGCCTCGGGTCACCGAGTGGTCCAGACTGTCGCCCTGCTGATTTGCGTGGCTAGGTAACGCTTTCCCATACAGGAGTCTGCTGCAGTGGGTCCCCAAGAAGCCAACCCAGAGAGGAGGTTGGCTCTGGAGGGAGAGGGCTGGTGGGGGGTGGGGGCATGTTAGCGGGAATTCTTGGGATGTGCATCTGGGAAGGGGGCAGGCATGGGCAGAGGGAGGAGTTGAGCTGGGGTGTGTTTCAGCGGACCTTTGGGCACTCTGAAGCTGGGCGCTCAGAGGAGTAAAGGGGCAGAGAGGGTCAGAACTTTATACCCCCGTGCAAGTTAGGCATTGGTGGGGCCCCTGGAAGGGGGAGTGTAACGGGGGGGCATGTCCTGCGGGGGGCTGACAACCCAGGCCTGTCTGTGGCAGCATCCCAGCAGGCAGGGAGGGGAGTAAGTCAGGTGTCACTCCCTGAGGTGGGCCCTGACAGCATCAGAGCATCCATGACAACATTTCATTTCTCTTCTTTCATCTGCAATTTTTTAAAAAATGGAGGCAAATTTCACATAACATAAAATCACAGAATGAACCACTTTAAAGTGTACAGTCCAGTGGCATTTGTTACATTCACAGGGTTGTACAACTACCACCCTTATCAAGTTTCAAAACGTTTTCATCCCCACGAATGAAAACCCCTACCCATTCCGCGGTCACTACCTTTCCCCCTCCCCCCAGCCCTGGCAAGCACCAGTCTGCTTTCTGTCTCTATGGAGTTACCTATCCTGGACGTTTCCTATAAATGGAATCATAGAGTATGTGAACTTTTGTGTCAGGTTGATTTCACTAAGATTTCCAAGATTCATCCGTGTCACAGCGTATGTCAGTACTTCGTTCCTTTTAATGGCTGAGTAATACACCGTTGTATGGATATACCATATTTGATTTATCCATTCAGCCATTGATGGACATTTGAATTGTAGCATCTTTTTAAAAAGGAACTTAGGATCAATGTGGAAGTTCTTGATTGTCGAAGATATGACTTCATTTCATTTGGAGGCAGGAAAAGCCCTCCAGGCTCACTGTGTGGAAGGGCATGAACTTACATCCCAGAAGAGGCTTCTGCTCAACAGCAAGTCCAAAGCCTGCCAGCCTTTCTGGGCCTGACAGCGCCACTGCAAGCTTGTCCACCGCTCTCCTGCCATGCCAGGGTGCTCTCAATCCAGTCTTGCCTTGTTCAGGCCACGCTGAGATGTTTCTGGGCGTGCTGCCTGCTCTCACTCCTCTCTGCTCCAGGGAACCAGCTCCAGCCCTTTGCTCAGGTCCCCTTTCTATCTCCCAAGGCTAATGGGGAATCTTTTCCCTCTAAGTCTTTTCCCTCCTTGCCTTGAAGTCAGAGCCACCGTTCTGGCAGACACAGGGGCTGAGCCCACGTCCTCCGCATGGCCCTTCTGCCCCAACTCCGTCCCCACCAGAGGGCAGAAAAGATGCTGCTCTCCATGACTTCCTACTGCCCGGGTCGCGAAAGATGCTGGCTGGGCAGCCACAACGCTGGCGGCTCATCTGGCCCCTCTGGATTCTGCCTGTCCAGCTTGTGCCCACCCATTTCAGCTCACCTCCTTCCCTGCCCCTCCGTCGTTGTTCCCCTGTTCCCAGGCACCCCTAGGTGCCCCAGCATCTAGCACAGAGTTGCTCAAAAGTCTGTTGACTGAAGAATCTCTTCCTTGGACATCTCTTCCTTTCAACTCCACACCTAAGAGCTTCTCTAGAAAAACCTTTACGGGAAGGATTTGTCAAATTGTCATTTGTTGTTCTAATTTTATATACACAGTCTGTGATCCTCAGAGCAGTCCCTGAGGCGGGCAGTACTAGCCCTGTCCTACTGAGGAGGAAGTTCAGGGTGGAGCCTAGCCAGGTGGGAAGCAGGCAGGGCCGGGATCTGCCCCCACTAGTGCAGCTAGGACCAGACCCGCTCCTCGCCCCAGGCTGCCTGGGCCCATCAGGTCCGTGCTAACCCCACTCTGCCAGGCATGGGGTTAATCGCTGGGGCCCCTAAGGCGCTGTGAAGGGGGGGTGGGGCGAGGGCCTTCAAACGACTTGTAGCGGGGGAGGGGCGTTCTACTGCCAGAGAGCTGTGCTCAGCCTGAGGGAAGAGTCCCGTCTCCATGGGATTTGGGGTGACATACGAACAACTATCTATATTGTAATCTGGGGCAAGCTTCACCCAAAGGACATTTACCAGTTGAAAACCTTTACTGTTAAACCCCCAACCCAGAAATAAAGGCAGCCTCAGCCGAAGGAAGACACCCTGCTGAGGGGTTTATCCTTTTCCCGGCAATAGTTGCTGGGACTTGAGGAGGGGATCTCGTCTTCTCAGTCTCTTTCCCGGCAACAAACACGGGCCTGCGGGGAAACGTCAGATAACCGGAGGAGGAAGGGCAGCAACCTTAGAGCCTGAAGTGGAGGCAACGGTGAGTAAGGGTGTCTCGTGTCTCTTTTTCTTTAGGATGGTGAGCAGTGGGCCGCGAGGAACAAACGCAGGAACAGACGCCAAAGCCCAAGCACACGTGATTCGCATTTAGAAGAACTGGAAAGAAGCCGAACCCACCTGCCCGCCTGCCCTGCGTGCCTGGGCAGGGCCATCGACCCAGAGCGTCTAGGGTCTGCTGCCTGGGGGCTCCCGGCAGGAAAGAGGTAGAGGGAGCTGCTGGCTTTTATCCCTCTCTTGGGGATGGTCACGTTTCCCCCCCTCCTACTCCCCTTCCTCCCCTCCCCAGAGACCCCAGGACGGGCAAAGCCAGCCCCCCAGGTAGACCACCTGGCCGTGGGTGAGGCTCTGTCCTGAGGGAGAGGGAAGCAGCTGGCACTGGCTAAGGTGGCAGGCGGTGGCGCTGTGACTGGGAAGCCTGCAGGAGGGGGCCAGGGAGGCCCATGTCCCAAACAGCGTATCACCAGGTCATTTTGTTTCACTGTTCCCAATGCGAAGTCATAAAGCGATGGCGGGTGACAGTTCCCAGGTGAGGAGAAAGTTCTGGAGTCCTGGACATGGTAAGTAGGGTGGGCCTGAATGGGACACTGAGGTGGGTGGTGTGAAGATTAAGGCTCTGAGCCAAACAGGAGAGAAAGAGACAGAGACAGAAGCATCCCAGGGCTCAGGAGGCAGGAGAGGTCCCCTAGCCAATGGAGAAAGCACCGTGGTCTCCAGCTGGGTGAGACTCAGCCCTTCTGCTCCCCAGGCCTTTTGTCTCTCTGTGCCTTGGAGGTCCAGGGTGGGCCTGGGGCTGGGTGGAGGTGCTGACGGTCCCTGAGTCAGGAGGTGAACCCCACCTTGGCCACTTGCCCTCAGATGTTTTGAAGAGGCAAATGGAGGTGTCAGGCATGAGCGAGAACTCTGTGTGTAGAATGAGGCTCTGAGGGAGCTGCTGGTGAGCCCTGAGCCTACAGAAGGATAGGGGCCCCGCAGAAGTCCCTGCAGCCGTAAATGGGTCCGAGTCATTCCAGCAGAATGCCCTGTGGGTATGAGAAAGAGAGAGACTACTCTGCAGAGAGCTGGATGCTTCCAGGCAGTCACCACTGCAGCGGGATCGCTCACACGCGCTCCACTCATCCCTGCTGGCCTGCAGGAGGGCACCGAGCCCCGCTTCTTCTCTGTAAGAGGAGTGTTACAGGCCAAGTCCGACCAGAGGTGGTTCTTTTCATTCTTTTCCCATTCCGTCGAGAGGGAAGGGGATTCTTTCTGGCACAGGGAAAAAAGGGGTGGGGTGTGGGGAGGAGGAAGGAGAGGGAAGGCGGTCTCCCCAGCACAGCTTGGGAAGAGGCCAGGGCGGCAGCCCCCCCCGCAGCCGCCCCCAGGATAGCAGATGGTCTGGGCTCTCCCCCCCGAAGACTGCAGAACAGCACACCCTCCTCTGCGCTTTCCGCGTCTTCCTCAGATGCTTGTGGACCGCTCTGATAGCCCTGCTTATTGTTTTCTTTCGGAGACTCCTCTTAGCTTCTACCTCAGCCGAAGGCTGAAGGTTAGGCCAATTCCTTTGTCTCTCAGACTTATGTAAACGAGAGGCCTCAGATCCTGGGCAGAGGCAAAGAGCTCCCACTCTACTTCCTTCTTAGGGGTCCAATGACATAAAATCGTTGCCATGGGGATTCCTTCATTTGTAGAAGGAACTGCTTTTAGAAAAAAAGAATGATTCACCAGTTCTTTAAGGAGGAACAGAGTCAGTCCTTGGGGAGATATGATGTAATAGGGTTTAGAAGAGGAATGATGACCAGCTGCAGTTTGTGTACGTTTTCTCTTCCTTTTTAGATCCTTGTGTAGCCTCAGGGCTCACCAGCAGCTCCCTCAGAGCCTCACTCTACACACAGAGTTCTTGCTCATGCCTGACACCTCCATTTGCCCCTTCAAAACATCTGAGGGCAGGTGTTAAAAATAATGTTAGAAAGGCCCAGCTAGGCTCACCAGGGAATTATTGTCAGGTCTTGGAAAGTGTCTTCATGGCCATTTCTGGGCCTAGCTGCTGGACAAAGTTATCAGCTTGAGGGTGCCACAGGGCCTTTGAACATTCATCTCCATTATGACTGGCCTAGCAGAGGACTTTTCCTATATTGACTCTCTCTGGGAAGTCTGCAGTTAACAGTGCAAGCTAGAAACTAAAGGTCCACAAGAGGGGAGGGAATGACCCAAGGTATGTAAGTGGCAGAGTTAGTCCCAGAAGCCAGGCCATCTAAGCAGCTATGGCCAACAGAGCAGGAGCCAGGAGGAAAACTTTTTTTTTTTTTAATAAATTTATTTATTTATTTATTTTTGGCTGTGTTGGGTCTTCGTTGCTGCGCTCAGGCTTTCTCTAGTTGCGGTGAGCGGGGGCTACTCTTCATTGCGGTGCGCAAGCTTCTCATTGCGGTGTCTTCTCTTGTTGCAAAGCACAGGCTCTAGGCGCATAGGCTTCAGAAGTTGTGGCTCGCGGGTTCTAGAGTGCAGGCTCAGTAGTTGTGGCTCACGGGCTTAGTTGCTCCACGGCATGTGGGATCTTCCTGGACCAGGGATCGAACCCACATCCCCTGCATTGGCAGGCATATTCTTAACCACTGCACCAACGGGGAAGTCCCTAGCCAGGAGGAATACTTTTATGAACAAATATATTGTCTAATAATTGGCAAAGAAAAGGAGGTTGATCGGTGGAAGCAATGTAAAAAATTAATAAGGGGCTGAAATTAGACTGATGTAATTGAGATGGTCCTTCTTTTCCTTTTGAAAAAGCACTGCACTGGGAGTCAGCTGTGTGCCCTTGAGGAAATTACTTTCCCTCTCTGGGCCTCAACTTTCTCACCTCCTAAATGAAAGGGCTGGGCTTGCATGAGCTCAGATCTCTTCCCGCGATGACATGCTTGTATACCGCCCTCGTGCTGGAAATACTAGTGAAGGCCTCTCCACGCTAAACTTAGTGTTCAAGGATTCCCCGTGGCCCACAGCATCAAGCCCACACCCCTTAGCCTGGAGCTCAAGGCTCTGTGTGATCCAGTCACAGCTCATCTTTCCAGTCGTATCTCCCATTTGCTACTTCCTATGGATTACCTGTTCCACAGCCTTGTTCGCACCCGCTATGCAGAGCAGCCTCCTCCTGCCCCAGTGCCCTGGCCAGAAAAAGTCCAGTGAGTCCTTTATCTCTCAGTAAGATGCCTCCTCCTTCAGTTTGGGGTTCTGATCTTCCCAGTTGTGTATCCACCATCACTGCCTTCACCTGAATGCGTGTTGTAATTATCTAGTCACTCAATCCCCCGAATATTCCTGAATGATTAGCGTGTGCTGTGACAATGACAAATTCGGACATAGTTCTGCCTTCGTGGTGGGGAAAGGGAGACATTAATCAAATAGTCATGCTTAGGAATGTATAACTGCAAACAGGGAAGTGTGAAGAAGGAAGAGAGAAGAGTTCCCCGAGAGCTTGTGAGAGTGGGATGCGGAAGGAGATGCTCCCAGGAGGGGAAGACCATGTGCTGATTCTGGCCAAAGGGAGTGTGGAGGATGAGAAGGGCTGGAGGAAGGCCAGGGTGAGGGGAGGACTTCCAGAGACATCGGGGGTGGCAGTGGTGAGCCTGGATGAGTGGGCTGTGGAGGGAGTGCTGTCTTGATCAGAGGAGCCATCTGGGAAGCCTGTGAGGGGTTGTAAAGAGGGGAGTGAGAGATCAAATAGGTGTTTCAGAACAAGTATCTTGGCTGCTGTGCAGAGTGGCCTGGAGTGGTGGTTTGTAGCCCCAGATGTGTAAGAAGCATGGGGAAGTTTGAGAAGGACCTATACCCTGGCCTCGCCTCCAGACATCCCCACTCGGTTAGTCTGGAGGGAGGCAAAAGGGAAGAAGGCGCCCAGTAGGAGACCCTGCAGTGGTCCAGCCAGGAGAGGAGAGCACATTGGGCAGGGATGAGCGCCAGGGATGTTTAGGAGATAAAATGGACAGGATTCGGCAATTAGTTCCCCTGGAGATGAAGGAGGAGGAGGTGTTAAGGTGGAGCCCCGAGTTCCTGGCTTATGCAAGCAGACGGAAATGGTGACATTCTGAGATGAGAACATGGGCAACGATGGGGTGTTGGGGGGCAGGGATCGGATGCGGGCACAGGCCCCCACCCCAGACCAGGCCGGCATCTCCCGGCACTCCGCGCCTGCGTGGGCCTGGAGGCTGTGCTTCCGCTGGGCCCCCGCAGCCCCTTGGAGCGCTCGCCCGCAGAGGCCAGGGTGGGCCGGAGGGATGCTTGGAGGTGGGGATGCGAGGGAGGCCCAGAGGCAGGGAGCACCGAGGCCCGCAGAGCCTAGGCGCCGGCCCCAGGTGGCCCAGCGTATGGTAAAGGCAGAAAACAGCACATTTGGCAAGAGTACGGGCACTAAAAGTGATCCCCAGGCCGACGCGGGTGCCAGCAGGGCTTTTACCTGCCTCTGGATCAGGGGGCTCCTTCAGGGCAGCAAAGTGAAGACTCGCTGACACAGTGAGCTGCCTGTAACCGGCTCCCCCGGGATGGTGGGAGCTGGTGGGCGCCTTCCCTTGTATCAGACAGACATACCCGGCCCTCAGCTCACTTGGATTCCCTGGGCAGGGATGTCAGAGCAGCCCAAAAATCTGTCCACATTCGTTTCCTCCAGCCACTTGATGCAGGAGAGAAAGAACACACTTGGAGTTGGGGGACCCGGGGGCTAGGCCTGTTTTGGTGGGTGGCAGATTTTGTGACCTTGGGTAAGTCACTTATCTCACCAGATCCTGGGAGGGGTAGAAGCAGGAGGAAGACCCAGACCTGCCCTCTCTGGAGGCTCACCGGCTCTCTGGTGGTGTGACAGACCCTGGGCAAAGAGCAAGCCATACCACAGCCCGGCCAAGTTTCCTGGAGGAGGTGAGGGAGGGGAGGAAGAGCAGAAGGAGGGTTGGGGGGAGGGGAGAGGAGCAGGGGGAGGAGGGGAAAATCTGTCTCACCACCACCCGAGGGCTCTGCCCCAGCTTCTCTCTGTGTTCATCTATGTGCAGGAGGAATTGCAATGTGTGGTTGTACCACAGTGACTCTCTTTTGTCTTTTTTTTGTTTGTTTTTTGCGGTACGCGGGCCTCTCACTGTTGTGGCCTCTCCTGTTGTGGAGCACAGGCTCCGGACACGCAGGCTCACCGGCCATGGCTCACGGGCCCAGCCGCTCCGCGGCACGTGGGATCCTCCCAGACTGGGGCACGAACCCGTGTCCCCCGCATCCGCAGGCGGACTCTCAACCACTGCGCCACCAGAGAAGCCCTCTCTTTTGTCTTTTTTATTTTTTTTTAATTGAAGTAAAGTTGGATTTACAATGCTGTGTTAGTTTCTGGTGTGCAGCAGGGGGACTCAGTTATACACCTATATATGCACTCTTTTTCTTATTCTTCTCCATTATGGTTTATCACAGGATACTGACTATAGCTGCCCGTGCTCTACAGTGGGACCTTGTTGTTTATCTTATATAGAGTGGTTTGCATCTGCTAAAATGAAACTCCAGGGTTGAACTCCAAGTTGTTTTTGTTTTTCGTTTTAACCCCTGTATGAACACCTGTAATGACTACCCTAATACGTACACTTCTTGTCTTTGTTTATAAGCGCTTTCCCCAAAACGTGTTTTCTTATGTCCCTCGGTCCCTTTACCTATGCCTGTAACCCAAGGTAACAGTTATTAAAAACTTGCCCTTTTCTCCTTGTGCATTCAAACAAATTCACACGTAAAGGGTGTCACTCCTTTTCTGTCACTGTTTGTTTTACAAAAGTTGCCTCACACAGTGTACAATTCTCTGCCACTTGTTTTGCTCCCTGAACAATAAATACACCAAGAAAATCCCTCTGCATGAGCAGATAGAGATCTTATTCTTTTCAATGGTGTGTAACACTCCACGGTAGGGACTTAAGAGAGCACTCCTACACAGGCAAGAGATTTTTTTCCCAATGGTAGAATAGAAAGAGATTTTTCATTTTTTTTAATGCTGGAGACTTTAGTGAGGTCTTTTTACCTGGCAGGAAGCTAAACTACCTGTATGGTTCGAGAGCCAAGTCCGGCACCCACTATGTGCGGGTTTGTTGGTAAAGACAAGGAATGGTCTTTGCTCTGAGGAGTTCACTCTGCTGCCAGAGAGACAAGAGCCCTGTCCCTTAGACAGCAGTCCCCGAAACTCATGCCTGCAGGGGTGAAGGCTTGAGTTAACCCCCTGGGAAAGGGCAACCTTGATGGAGAAAATTCTAGAGGGAAAGTGCAGAGTCAACAGTTATTTGATATTGGGAATTCCCTGGCGATCCAGTGGTCAGGACTCGGTGCTTTCACTGCCGAGGGCCTGGGTTCAATCCCTGATCGGGGAACTAAGATCCACAAGACACGTGGCAAGGCCAAAAAAAAAAATTATCTGATGTGCCATGTGGCCAAGACATGAAGCTAAGGAGGAGGAAGTAGGATTACTCAGTGTGCTGGCTGAACAGCTCCCTCCTTCCCACTGACTTTGCCCCAAGAATTTCAACAGCTACAGGTTATTTCCAGAGGGAGGTTGAGCCATTCGCCTCTTCATTTTCTAACTGCAGAACGGATAAAAGTCTGAGATTTCAATCAAAAGCTTAAGAAAATAATAATCCTTAGTTGCCCTAATTCTTTTCTGAAAATACCTCACACTGACAGAAATTGTCTTTAAGCCCCCTTTCTCTTCTGTCGTGCTTTAAATTTCTTCCTTAATTAAAAAGAATTGTTTGCCTGATGTGGGCTCCAAAGGGCTTATTTATTTTAACTGACCTTCTTGTTTCTTTTTCTTATCCTAACCAGTGACTTGATAACTCTAAAGCTCTCTATTCTTCTGTCTTAAAATGCCCATTGTCTCTGTCACCAGGGGAACATAATAATGAATTTTATAATCAGCCCATTTCTATTCCCACAGCATGGAAGCCGTGTCAGTAACAAGCAGAAAGCACAGCGCCCCTAAGTTCAACTGCCCTAAATTGGCTGCTCGTCCCTAGCAGAGATTTTAGAATGCTCTTCTCAGAATAATATTTCAGCATCACTCAACCTTACCAATATTTGATGACAACATTATCTGAAAATTAATGATGAATTAATGTCTGCATTCCAAAGTACCTGGCTGAATTCACTGTGTAAAAAAAAAAAAAAAAGGCAGGGGGCAGGGCAGCCAAACAGGTATGTCATTGAAACCCAGCAACTGTTGAATGATGGAATTTTTTTCCCCGTCCCTTAAGGCGATCAAGAGTAGTACCCAGTCTGAGAATGCCTCAGAAGCACGCCATCCAGTGACTTGGATCCTTGAGCTCAGAGGGTTGTGATAGAATTAAGTCTGACTCAACAAATGAGGTCACTGGGAAGAAGCACTGGTGTTAAATTTCCCATTAACACTGGTGGCTAATTTACTAAACAGTCATCTGCTTGTGGTTCCAGAAGACCGCCCGGTAAATTCCAGACACCTCCTGGGCTGCAGATAGCTTGGGCATGAAGTCACCATACCCTGGTCAGTGTGACTTTTGGTGACCATCCCTCAGTACACCGGAAAGTATTTCCAGAGACTGGATGCCATTTTGGAGTGTAAAGCCTTGGAAATCTGTGGAAGGTGACTTCTTATGTTGAATCTAGAAATGGGATGGCAGGAAGGGGTGCTCTGACTCTTGGTGCCAGGAAACTCAAGTTCGGGTGCTCGTTCTGCCACAGATGTTAACTGCAATTCAAGTCACTGAATGGCTCATCTTAGGGGTGTTTCTAGATTAGATATTGTACTGTATCAAGAAGTGTACAAAAGTAATGAATTGTCATTCACCAGTTGTCAGACATAAAGGATGCCTTTCCCCCTACTTCTCTGAGCCCTACTTTCCTTATCTGTCAAGTGGAAACACTAATAACTTGCTTATCCACCCCTCACCTCCCAGGACTGTTAACATGAGTAAAAAGAGAAAAGAGATTTGAAATTTGCATGCAAAGTTCAAAGTTCTACACAATTAGAAAGCACAAACGGAAATCATTTCTAGATTCTGATGAAGCTTTTCAGTCATTTCCAATCACAGGTTTAGGAATTCAGCCACCACGTTCTTGCTGTTGAGCCTGTGCTGGTTCAAGCATCACAGCCCAGATGGCCAGTGGTCTCATCTCTGGCCAGCTCCTTAGGGGTCAGCCTGGGTTTCTTGCTGGTTTGTCACTGCCTCACACTCTCTGCCCCTGACACGGGGGGTGGGGGCAAGAAACAGGGATGAACCTCTCGGCTTCCTCCTGAAACTGCCCTCCTCACAGTTTCTCAGCTGTGTCTTCCAGAGTCTTCTGTTTGAATTCTTGACTGGGCAATCACTTTCCTTAAACCAAGTCAGGTCTTCTGAATTCCTAGAGGCAGCAGAGCATAGGGGGAGCTTGTGGGACTTTGGGCTACAGATCATTAATTAATTATCCATGGATCTTCTGAGCCTTGGTTTTCTCATTTGTAAAATGGAGGTAATAAATCTACTTCACTGGGAATCTCTGGGGATGAGATAAAAGAACATGGGTGGAAGGACCTGGCATACTGTAGGAGCTAAAAGTACATCCTTTTCCTTTTTCCTTCTCTCCCTCTTCCTTCCCCACTCAGCTGCCTGCAAGGCACTGTCTCCTCGCTCCTGATTAGGTGTTCCATTTACCCTCTTTGCAAAGGAGCTGCAGAAAGCAGATTTAGCCACACGTCTGTGCATTTTCCTGGAGAAGCCTTCACAAGACCACTTCTCCTTTTCCATACTGGCCTTGTCTGAGTCGTTCTAGAGTCTTCACATTTGGGAAAACATCTGGATGTCACCTAATTTTCATGTTGCATCTGGACGTGTGTCAGAGCCACACTGTAACTGCACACTGGGAATCATGTCATTTGTTCAGGGGCAAACCTAGAGGCGGCTTTGTGAGGGTCTACCCGTAGGTGCCGGAGGAAGGAAGAGGGAACTCGGAGGGCCTGCAGAGATGAGGAGTCAGGTAGGATCCTATTAAGCGGGTTTCACTGAAGGCTGTTGACACACTTCTCATAAACTCCCCGCTTCCTGCTATTTTCACAGGAGAAAACACGATGAGGGCTGGAAGTCAAATTAAGCAATTAAGCAAAATTCCCCAAGTCACTTGAGCTATTCCTCTGAATCCAGGGCCCTGGGATAACACAGCCTGTCAGCGACTCCTGTTTCGTACCTGTCTTCCATCTCCATTCTGCAGAGGGACCAGAGAGATGATTCCAGAAGTGCTGCCATTGCTGGTATGTCCGTCCCTCCCGCTCTGGCGCTGGCGCCTCACCTTCTACCCTCCACTGTCTCTTCATCCATCTTTCTCCTCTTTATTTTTGTCCACCCTCATGGCTGTCAGGGGGCTCTTGGGTCATCTTTGTCATCATAAACTCATGGGTTCCAAAGTGTGCTCTGTGGAACACTTACTTGAGAACGTGCCTCCAAAAAAAAAAATGGATCCCTGACCAACTGCCAGGAATGGCGCACACTGTGTCCCTCGTGGAGATTCTCAGTTCGTGTCACCTATTGAGAGCTCTGAAAAATTCCATAATAAATGGTTTAACATTGTTTAACTAGTTTTTCCCAAAACCTTTTTGATCATGGACCCTTTCCTATGAACTCCCAAGGAACACCTATCAGCAGGGTTTGGTGAACCACACTTTGGGAAAAGCCGGCATGAACAATGTATTATTTGTAGAAATGCTGTGAAGTCAAATTCGCTTATGAGAAATCTGGCATCAAAGGCCTATGGAAAAATGTGTGTGCTGTGCTTTAATGAAAGTATGACATTCGTGTAGATCAGAGGTCCCCACCCCTCTCACCACAAAAGATCCTTTTTAGTTCTTTCCTCAAGGGATTCCATGTTTCGAAAGCTTTTATCTACCCAACAAACTACATTTATTGAATAATAATTTGTCCTTTGAGTTTTATTCATCAAAGACATATTGCTGCCAATTAGTGCTTCAGATCAGTCAAGATAACCACTGTTACCACACAGAGTTGATATGACTCCAGCCCAAAGCAAATAAACTTAATGTTTTATTTAGTCTGGGAACCTCACTGAGGTAAATGTATGATTTCCTTTGGGCTTTTTGAAATCTTGAAAACAGCTTACAGACCCCCTTGCTGCCTTCCCAGAGTGCAGGGTGGGTGGGAGGCAGGACTGTGTGTGGAAACCCAAGGAGGACACACATGGTTGGGAGGCAGGCAGGGAGGCAGAGGTTATTGGGGCTGCCCACGGACAGCGAGGACAGCCGCGGGCCGGGGGGTGGGGACAGTGTGAAGCGGCTACAGTCCCTGGGAAGCCCGAGGGTCCATGGATTATGGGGTCCAGATCTTGAAGAACAGAGGAGATGCCAAAGGCACGCACGTGGGGCTCCCCAAATGTGGGCACGAACCTGGGCAAAGCGTATGTACCCCTGTAGCCAGGTACCCGGAAGAGCTGGGGAGGAGGCCGGGGCCCAGGGGACGGCAGGGTGGGGTGGGCGCTCTGCCGGCTGTTCTTCCCAGGCCTCCCCGACACCTGGTAGTTTTTATCATGAGCTACTAGGAGGTGAGCGAACTCAGTTTGGCCGCCCTCGTGGTTTTTTGTTTGTTTGTTTGTTTTTTCGGTACGCGGGCCTCTCACTGTTGTGGCCTCTCCCGTTGCGGAGCACAGGCTCCGGACGCGCAGGCTCAGCGGCCATGGCTCTCGGGCCCAGCCGCTTCGCGGTATGTGGGATCTTCCCGGACCGGGACACGAACCCGTGTCCCCTGCATCGGCAGGCGGACTCCCAACCACCGCGCCACCAGGGAAGCCCACCCTCGTGGTTTTTGATGAAGCCCTTGAGGGTTCGAGGCCCCTGAGGTACCGCCTTCTGTTCTGCGGCTGGCTCCCTCCTACCCCGGAAGAGCCTCGTGCGGACCTAGCGGCCGGCTCCCGCGGGAGACGGTGGGCGTCCCGGAGCTCGGCCTCAGACGCCCGGGTCCGCGGGCTCCTAACACAGAGGCTCTCCTGGTGCGTTTGAAATGGGATCAGGTGCCCCGCGATCCGGTCTCCACGGGACGTTGCACAAGAGCTGTCGGGGCAGCTGTGGGTGTAGCGGGGTGGCCCCATTCCCTGCAGTCAGAGGGGGCTCCTCTATGGGAGGGAAGTGCTCAGGCCAAGCCCTGTGCAGCCCGAACCGGCCTCCATGGGCCGGGCGCCCAGCCCTGTCCAGACATGGCCGTGGACCTCAACACCAGCCTTGCTTCTCAGCTCTCTCCTCTCATCAGCCAGGACGTTTTCACAGAAGATATACAATCTGTGCCTGGCAGAAGCCCGGTTGCAAAAATAAATCTTTCCCTGAACATTTTCCAGGCCCATTTTAGAAACAAATCTGGGCGATGCCTTTTACTCATTTCCAAAGACAAACAGCCGACGCCTGAGGCGTCTATTCGCGCAGAAATGTTTCGAGAATGGGGGATGGGATCTGCCCTCAGAAGAGCCCAACCAACTTTGAGCGGGGAGGGTGAGCAGCGCTAAGGATTGTGCCCCCACCAACCGCTGCCGGGGTCTGGGGACACAGGTGGGAGGGAGCTCACAGGCCTGGGCTCCAGAATGGTACAGCCTTGCAATGGGGGCCTCGCCCTCCCCTTCCCCCTCCCCTTCCCCCTCCCC